ACAGTCTCACACGCCGTTGCATGGGGGGCAGGGTCCGTGCATTCCAGTTGGCACACGCTGGCAAGCATTATGCCTAACTAAAGGCAAAAAACGGTGGTATCTCGGCCAGAAAGGAATCCATCGGTCAAACCGAAGCGGCCGACATACAATGCCGACCGCCAATGGTATTTTCCCAATGGCCGGTAGCAAGAAACATCGGCCGGCTGGTCTCAAGCCACGGGTCGGTGGTGTGTCGAGGGGTAGCTAACAAGCATACTCTCTACCCTTAGAGCAAAAACACAAGTGTTTTGTCAAAACCAAACAACAAATTTCCGAGTGTTCAAACCGCGGACGTCCAACGTCTTGAGGCGTCAAAAATGGGGTGTCTACAGTTGCCCTCTTTGACAAGAACTCAAAAGTCAGTAACGAATGAACGGCAGAGTGAATTGTCAACCGAAGCCCAGAGACAACCTAGTTTTTGTACAAGCGCCAAGAAGACTTGACAAAAACATACAAGCAGGAGATAAAGGTATCTGCCTTATAGCAGGGCAAAAGCAAACTGAACAAAATAACAAAGAACTAGAGCATAAACTTTATGATTCATGTCAAAAAAAAGCTGTAACGAAGCACATACAACAACAGCTTTTAGCTAGCACACACCAACTAGACAATGTGAGAGAGAGTGTAAAGGAACCAAATGTTATAATTCTCGCTATCGCTTACGTGGAAATATAATACTATGTGCGGTTCGCTCTGGTCGTGCCAGCTTTCAAAATGAATCCCCGTACATACAAATATCGGGCCTGAAAGAGAAATAAAACTTAATAGGTACGATATCGTTAGCAGTATGCATAACAATGCAATTGAAAGTGCATGACAACGCAAGTCGATTAGAATGCATGACAATACGATTTGAAACAAGCATAGCAATGCCATGAAGGTAAACGCATGTAAGTAAAGCATAACGCAACAACGCATGCAATGTGTACGAAAGGGGCTTGAACACATTTAAGTAAAGCATAACGCGACAATGCATGCAATGTGTATAGAAAGAAACTTGAACACATGTAAGTAAAGCATAACACGACAATGCATGCAATGTGTATAGAAAGGAACTTGAACACATGTAAGTAAAGCATAACGTGACAACGCATGCAATGTGTATAGAAAGGAACTTGAACACATGTAAGTAAAGCATAACGTGACAACGCATGCATGTGTATAGAAAGGAAAGAGGGGCAGATTCAACTTGAAGCATGGTAAAGACATGTCATTCATGATGTTGAAATGCAAAGCACTGCAACACAATATAATTGAAGCGATTTGCGAAATTCGCAAGAGACAAAAAGGAAATGGGAAGGGGTGCTCTTCGCACGCACCGGGCATTGCTCATAGAAGTCATGGCCTGAGGTCAACTTGAAGGTCTACTAACGTTCCAAAAGTGCACTTCCTTGCACTGTCTCGAGTAATGAAGGTGCCAAACCACATAGTTGACCCGAACAAGGGCGCGGGAGGTGCATTGACTGCAAGGGGAGGTTACCGATAGGCGGTGTAGTGGCCCTCTCTTTCTTTGGTCTTGACAATCATGTCGTCCACATACACCTCAACCTCTTTGTGGATCATGTCATGTAATATTGTGGTCGCGGCCCGTTGATATGTAACTCCAGCGTTCTTCAACCCAAATGGCATCACTCTGTAGCAGTATGTCCCCCACGAGGTGGTGAAGGCAGTCTTTTTCCGATCTTCGGGTGCCATCACTATCTGGTTGTAGCCTGAGAAGCCATCCATAAACGAAAGCAAAGCATGCCCCGCTGTGAAATCTACCACCTCGTCGGTATGCGGCAAGGGAAAGTCGTCCTTCGGACTGGCTTTGTTCAGATCCCTGAAATCCATGCACACCCTGATCCTGTCATCCTTCTTCGGCACTGGAACTATGTTGGCCAACCAAGTCGGGTATTCGGATACCAGCAGAAATCCTGCATCGATTTGTTTGGTGACCTCTTCCTTAATCTTGAGAGCCCAGTCGGGGCGGATTCTCCTGGGTTTTTGTTTAACGGGTCGGGCCTCGGGGTCAAGAGGGATCCGGTGCTATACAATCTCAGGATCGATCCCAGGCATGTCTTCGTAGGACCATGCGAAAACATCTTTGAAATCTTTTAATAAAGCGACTAAGCGCTCGCGTTCCTCCGAAGACAACATGGACCCGATCTGGACTAGCCGCGGGTCCTTCTCAGTACTGACATTCACAGTAGTGATTTCATCAACTAAAGGTTTAACAAATCTTTCCTGCTCTTGTTCAATTAAGCGTTGCAAAACCGGGAGAATTTCTTCCTCGTCGTTGTTATCAAAATTTTGAAAGTCCTGATTCAAGCAATAAATCAAAGGTACAGAAAAGTACTTAGAAACCACATCCACATCATTCTCATTAAGCACATCCAATTCGTCCGATTCTTCTGTTACAACAGACTCAAAAGAGAAAGAAAAAGACGACCTGGACAGGGCTGTGGCATCCGGGTTGTCACCCCCAGGAATACCGGACTCAGACTCAGTCGAGCTGGAACCTGATTCCGACTCACAAGACTCGGTGGAATTAGATTCCGGCTCACTACCTGACCCGGTGCTACTTGACAAAAATCCCTCCTCGTATTGCCAAATGAGAGAGGGTGCGATGGATGCATCCAAAATGTTTGCTGGTAGGCCCGCAGCCGTTTCATTCCTGATCATGGACACCGAGAAGTTATCCCCTAAGCACTTCTGTTCGATCGGAGGATCTGAAAGTAGACAAGCCAGTGCTACCCCTATTTCAATTTCAAAGTCCTCAGACTCCACTTTCCTGCTCTGCTCAGCCTCAGCTAATGGGTCCATCTGCTCTTCGGCAACGTCATCCCCGGATAACTGCAGGTCGAAGAAGATCTCAAACCCCGGCACGCGCTTCCTCTCCGCGTTCAACCATGGCTCTGGGAAGCCACAAAATGGAAAGTTCTCCCCCTCCTGGACGAAGCGTCCGTTTAGGGTACCCTGGATGGGCCGGTGCATCAACTCAAAAGGCTTCCCCATCTATTTCGCTCTGGCTCTCCCAGCTATCTCCTTACCTTTCGTTACCAAATCCTCTTTGGTGGGCAGATAACCCAAGCCAAAGGTGTGTGGGTTGTGTGGCACTTCGGCCAATGTTGCAACGCCCTTCCGGCCGCTCTTTTCCAATCCCATCCCGGGGATGTGTTGGAGCTTGTTCATGAGGTATACTGCTTGAGCACTGACATACACCCCCTCATTAGCCGCCATGATATTTCGCACAACCCGAGCCTTAGCTAAGGTAAAACCTGACATGAACACATCTTCCATACTGTGCTCAATTTCCAAAACTGGCGTGGATACTTCTGGTGGTGGATGGATCGACGAATTCTCAAAAACAATGGCTACTCCTTTCCCATGGGGGTATTTCACCATCTGATACAAGGTGGATGATACTGCCTTCACCTGATGCAGCCACGGCCGCCCCAAAAGCAGGTTGCAAGTTGCAGGAAGCTCTAAGACATGGAAATCTATCTCATGCTGTCTCGGCCCAACCTTGGTCTGAATTTTCACTGTCCCCATGACTTCTCTGCTCGTGTTGTCATATGCCCAAATCACTTGGGCTGTCGGCACAAAGTCTGCGGTTTTTAAACCGATTGCTTACGCTGTCCTTGTCGGGCAAACGTTGATGGCGGATTCGGTATCAACAAAAACCACCGGGATCCATTTGTTTCTACATTCCACCGAAACGTAGAGTGGCTTGTTGTGGTTCGCCCCCTCAGGTGGCAATTCCTTGTCAGAAAAAGTCAACATCGAGGTAGCTCCCCCCGAAAAAGCTAATTCCACCAGCTGCTCTGGCGTGGTTTCTATTGAGAGCTTGGCCTTGTCCATGGCCGATAAGACAGCTTGTCGATGCACCCGCGATGCCATAAGCAGTCCCCAGATGGAGATGTCTGCTTGTATCTTTTTCAGCTGCTTCAGTACAGCTTCTTCTTCGAGTTGCTTCTCTTTCTGTTTTTCAGCTTCCTTATCCTTTCCAGATGCCTCTGGCTGATCTAGATGGGAGGCTTGAAATACCGTCCACTCCTTGTTATATGATCGACCTCGCCGATGTACCAGGTATCGTCTGGCTGGTTACTTCCCCAGTCCTCATCCGTGTGGGCAAGACATAGATCGTCGTCTTCCCACCACATTCCATTGGCAGCCGACAGACACATGTCCGGCTTTGGTATGACTGCTCTCGTACTCGCAGTACCCTCCATCCATATGCTCACAGCATTCTCTGTTTCTGTGTACATAGCAGTTTCAATCCTCTCATGGGTTTTAGCTTTCCTGATTCTCTCAGAATCCTCAAACCTTTCCTGTTCCAATTGTGTCAGTACAGCTGACTGTTCAATAACTCCTGTATTCAAAATGCTCTGATCCTGAGCAAAATTCTTGACACCCGGCGCTCCCCGGTAATGTACTCTGCTCTTCGGCCCTTCCGGTCGTCACTAACATTCTCGCCCCTGCTGGGCCTCGTTCTGATTGGAACTCTTCCACAACATCCGGCTGATCATCCAACCACCCGGTAGCCTCCGCTAATTCCTCATAATCAAACCAGTTGACTGCTGCGTCCCCTGGATCTTGGTCATTGAAAAACTAGAGGTTGGTAAGGCCCTCTTCTATAGCCGTCAAATTATCTGTCCCCTGCTCAAATCCATCCCCTCGGATCATACACAGCTCTGCCCTCTCCGACAATCCTACAACGGGCCGAACCTAACCTGCTGACAGAATATAATCACTTGGATTGTAGGCTTCCTCAGCAGAACTCCCAGATTCCTCAGATTCTGGCTCAACAATCCCATTCTCCTCTGAAACTTCCCCTGTTTTGTCTTCGACAGTCACCACCGTTGGTTCAGGTCGAGTTCTGGAGATGTTCAACATGCACAAGTTAGTGCAGTCAGGAAGGAACACCTCCGACTTAGGTAATGAGAAAGAGTGATATATATGCTAGGATCGTAAGATACGACCCTAGTCTGGATAAAATTGATTCTTTTGGAAGGTGGAGCTTGGTTGTGTGGTGGGAGAGGGTTTGTTGTAACATTAGGTTTCTCGGGAGGCAAAATCACCCCGTTATCGATGAGATCTTGAATCTCATGACGTAATCGGAAGCATTGGTCGGTGTCATGACCGTGCTGTTGGTGAAATGCGCAATATTTGACTGGGTTGTGGGTAGGGGAAGTCTTTCCGGTAATGGCCGCGGCTCTAGGGGCTTCAAGTGCTATTTTCTGATTAAAACTCCCAGAGCTTTGGACAGGGGCATATATAGTGGAGCGAAGGTTCTTTGGTTTTTGGGTGGGTATTTGGCTGTTTGTATATGGCTTCCGGACGCACCGGAGAATGGCGTAGCTGCCATGGGTCTTGGAGGGGGAAGGGGAATGGTGGTGACCATGCTCACTTCTGAGGCTCTTGCAGTTGTAACGCCACTCAAGCCTGCATTGGTGTTGCAATTGAAAGTTCTTTTGGGTTGCTCCCGATCATTATCAATTAAGCCTTGCTTCAAGGCATCCTTAATCTGTACTCCTATCTCATGCAAATCAACAAAGGTAGGGAAGGGGAGCACGATCATTTTCTGCATCAGCTTAGGCTGGAGATTGTGTATAATCATCCAAATTTAATCTTTATAGCTTAGGCTGGAGATTGCGCACAATCATCTTGATCTGATCTTTATCTGTGGGCCTTAGGGTCATCATCGAGGCCTTGGCCCTCCATCTGGTCACGAACTCTGAAAAGCTCTCCTTAGGCTCCTGCCTTGTCGTCTCGAGGTCGCGGGTCGTAATCTCGATTTACGTGTTATATGAGTAGTGTGTAATGAAGGCCTCAGCCATCTCATCCCAGTTTCTCTTGACATCATCTTCTAATTTGGCATACCATATGGCTGCCACACCTGACAGGGTCCGCCCGAATAGAGACAGCTTCTGCAGTCTGGTGAGGCCCATTGGCCTTAAGATATCTAAAAACAATCTCAGGTGCACCATGGGATCCCCGGATCCATCAAATCGGTCAATATGCGGCATCTTGAATCTGTCCGGCAGCGTCACAGCTGCATCGGTATATCCATCTTCAATGTTAAGGATGGCCTTGACCCCCTGGGATCTCTTGAATAGCTTTTCAAGCTTGCCCAACTTCAATGCTGTGGGATCTGTCTCGAACTCAAAGGGGGAGTCCGGTAGGTTGGTGGGCGTTTTGGATAACTGGGGTAGGATTGGGAGCGGAGGTGGCCCTGTGGGAATGTCTGTATCATTCTAAACATTAGCTGTCTCCCCGAGTGTTGAAACTCCCGGCGGGGGAGGAGCTTGATGCGAAGCAAATGCTCCGGCCTGCTGTTGTAGCCTCACGATTAACTCTGCTTGTTCAGTCATAACCGTGGCCTGTTGCTTGGCGAACTCCGCCTGTCGGACAGCGTCTTGCTGCATAGTTTTCATGTTTTCTTGGAGCTGGCGCACCATCTCCTCTCAGCTTGCCATACTATTCTGATCTGATTGAATTTCTGGTATATGTTCCCTCTCTGCGGGAGAAACGAAGCCCTGATCCCTACTGTGCTCAGGTGGGGTAGACAAAGCCCTCTGTACTGATCGACGGACTAATATCTTCTGCCTAACTGCCCTTCATCTAGTAATCGGGGGTAGTGAGTAGTACACTGGTTGTCTGTCTATCAGATTCTCAGATCGATGGAGTCGACGACCTCTAGTCCAGAGTGCTTGGGAAATATCTACTGGGTTAGAAGCAATCGCACTAAACTACCTAGCAAAAAGATAAATAAAACGATAATAAGAAAATAAAACAACCAGATAAACGGACAGCATAACAGCGTAAAATAAACACACAACACACAGTTGGGTATCACAACACACTGTCGATAAGCTGAATACATTGTTCCTCAACCATTGATTACTGTTTCCAAATCATTGCCCCCAAGTCTGAATCTGATACCTGCAGATAACTGATTCCCGAAAAACACTGATGCCTGTAGGCCTGATGCCCAAACATGCAAACTGATATACGCCTTCTTGTAAAGACGCACTCTAAAGCACATAGCAGATAAGTGAGAGCCAAAACACCCCTATGTTGGGGTAAGGTTTCCCTGTCCTATTTTGTCAGGAACTAGGGTTTCACTGCGCACGCAGCGGTTTCAAACAACCTATATCGGGTAAGCAACCTGTCCTAGTTTGGAATGGTCGCTATGGATTCCGAATATGCACTAGGTCGAATGGTCGAAAATGGTGCCCCAGTAAAACCGGGGTTTGCGTTCCCATACTGGCAGAGCCCGCAACCGGTCAGCCTTATGGCATGCTTTGACAAAGTCAAGCCTCCAGCAAACCGTTCAGGAAGAGCACATGGCCAACACGGTGTCCTAGGCGCACCAATGCACATGCAATGCAAAGAAACACATAAGTGTAGTCAAAACAAGATATCACGAGTTCGAGTCAAGTTCTCTAATTTCCCCAGCAGAGTCGCCAGAAATTGTAGACGTCCTCGAACGCCCCGGGAGGATGAGTCCCATTTTGTTCTTCTTTAGGCTCACTATAGTTCGGACCCTAATTGTCACGGTTCTTAATTTGAACCAAAGAGTCCAAATCCGGCAAATCGTTTTGAAAAAAAAAAAATTTGTAAAGAAGTGTCAAACATGGACTGCTTTTCCAGATACAGAGTCGCCACCTAAATATTTTATTTTGGGTGAAGTTAGGAAACCCTGACTCGTTTGCCTAAGGCCACGTGTCCGTCATCACCAGAGTTGCCTCAGCTCGGGAACTTGGGTACGATTGGGGAAGGTCAGCTACGAGCACCCTCTCTTGCCCGATCTGAAGATCGGCCTCTACTAATCATGATATCTTGTTTTGAAAATATTATGCGTTCTTATTCCGGTTATTAGCCTAGATTTACTATGTGGTGCGCACAACATACAAGTATAGACTGAATCACCTGAGTTAGAACAAAACATTTCATGTTTGCTTTTTGAAAGCAGTTTGCTACTCGTAAGTAGGCTAAAATACAGGTTTTGCCACCCTCGAGTGGGCTTTAGAAAAGATGGTTTTTGCCACTATCAAGTGGGCTTAAAACTCACGGTTTTAATGCAGTATTCCCTGAATCACGGTTTTAATGCAGTATTCTAATTCAAGTAATTCAACCTCCATCCACAGGCATTCAAGCAATTATATCACATGAGCAAATAGCCTCATGGTAATCATGCTGTCATGGCAACGTTCACACGCGTGCAAGGATGCTAAAACGTAAAAGCTTACCGAGTACTCCAAGCCAAAACAAAAGCTATGTTAGAAATGCATGCATGATCCTAACTATACAGAAATGCCTAATGCAACACATGCAGGAATGCGATACATAAGCTCGCTATTCAAGATGGCGTATGATGATGCTGCAACTAAACACTGTATTCAACTGGAATTGAAATACCAATGCAATTAGTATGATGCGCGAGCCGGGTGCATGCAAGACAAATGTATGGATGCACGCATGCATAGCATAAGGTATGCTATTAAATAACCAATTACTAACCCATTAAAAGCAGGTAAGTAAAAGGAGAAAAAGTGGGGGTTGGAAGACTGCACACACTCACCCACACTTATTACAAATTCGCCCTCGCCTGGAGGACCAAAAAAGAATAAATACAGTCCAAACAATGAATCAACTATCCTAGCTAATTAATTATTTACAGACCCCCTAATTAATTAACAAATTAATCACAAAATGATTTAAATTGTGAAGCTAAAGAGGACTGCCGCAACTCTGCCTCGGAATGCGTGAATGATGCATGCTTGATCGCCCCGCTCGGAAACTCGCTGCTATAGCACTGTTGCCTCTGTTTACACTGCCTGCTCTTTGAAATATTGCACAAGTCCCAAGGAGGCTTCTCTGAACACTGGGGAGTATCCACCACCAAGTGGGGACACCACCGACCGAAGGGAATGGTCATCGACCATTGGTTGAGCCACCGACTAATGTATTTGGTCGGTCGGCACTCTAAGTAGCCGCCGGCTATTATATCCGGCAGAATCCTGCAGTTTCAACAACAGAGGGGGCAAGCAGTGTATGGCATGGAATTTTCAAGTAAATGTGAGCATGACCACACTCCCTATCATGCAATGGACTCAAGGGAGCATGACCCTCGACCCCCGGGCCATCAATTATGCATTTTAATGCATGATGGCCTAAGAGGCCAAGTTTGCCATTCAATGTAAAATGCATGCAACAAAAGAGATTAATGCCAACACCCTCTCATATTGAGATCAAGGGCATCGGTGACCGAGAATTGAGACGTGTTACGTCACTTGGAGTACGAACACCCTTAATCCTCATGCTTGGTTTGACACCCCAAACCAAGCAATGCAATGCATGTATACAAACATGGCTCAAGAATGCAACATGAGGCTAAGATGCAAAACATGCCAAATGCAATGCAATATATTATGCAAGCATGCAATGTGCTAATCATGTAAGAGGCAATACAATGCAATTTAACATGCGATGCAAACATGGTACAATGCAAGCATGCTACGAGAGGCAACAAGTCAAACATACAACTATGTACAAGAATGGACTTAGACTGAAATGAGAGGCCTCAGCCATACCTTAAAACAGTGGCCAAAAGAGTCAAAAATGGCACAACTTATGCATGCAAGCATGCACACACCAAGGCCTATCATCTAAGCGTGAAAGGGGACAACTCTAAGTATACTTAAAGGCAATATGCTTGGACATTAAACACTCATGTTAGACTCTAAAAAGCATGCAAAAGATGACACTAAGGCATGCTACGGAATGGATGCAAAATAGAAGGTATTCAAGGCTACAAAAGAGAACATTGCTCAACACCTACCCCAAGCAAACATGACATGAACTAAGCAACCTAAAACAGAGTTTTTATGCATCTAAATATGCCCCAAAACCCACTGATATGGCAGCCCCAAAGACTTAAATACATAAGCATACACAATGCTCATTTCAAGGCACCA